TTTTTTTTTTTTTATAAAAATCTTTAAAATTTAACACTTTAAAAGAGTATATTTACAAAATAAAATTTCTAAAACTCTTTTTCTTAACTAAGATGAAGAATGTGATTTTGTAGTGCCAATAACATCAAAACCAAATGAAATATAATCTTGGTAAATGCAATAAATTCTAAAATAACTATATGGCAGGTTCTGTAGGCAATGGTGCTGATGCCTGACGGGGTGGGTTAGGCGGAATATTTCTCGACATAAAGTATTGAGTGACCTGTTGAGGAAGTTCGGCCAACACTTCTCTTGCTAAAACTTCTGGTGACGACTGCAAAATATAAATATAATAATTCAGTTTTGATTTAATGTTTTCAAATTATTAATTTATTTGTATAATTTGACAAATTTAGATTAAAGATAAATAAATAATAGGCAATAATATAACCAATAGTAAATTTCAAAAATATTAACTTTGCCACACAGTGAATACTATATTTCTATATTAGACTCAGTAGATACATATACTTTAGCAGACAAATGGCCCAAGCATTGTAGTTTTAATAAAACTGTTGATACAATTTTATCTTGATTAAGGCCAATGACACATGGGACACTTTGTGGTGATGTGGCATGGTACAACTTTGCAATAAATATTCCATCCCAGGGCATAATAACCAGGTCCTAGCTACACAAGAGCCACAGCAACAGCAAATAAAACTCTGCAACAGCATAATGTCCTGATTTGAGTCGAGTCTGCATAAGTTGTCACAGGTATAACTAGACACCGTCGGTTAAGTAATCAGTTTTCTGTGGTCCTGGCCGATTTACATAGGCATTAATATTACAAATCTCCAGTTTACTCGACACCATTTAACTCGTCACCATCGGAAAAATCAACATACTTTTTCTGTCCCACACTCGTTTAGACATCTGATAAGTCGACTTCCCTTCCGAAAAAAATGAGTTTACACCATACAGCTTAACATCACAGCAGAATCTGATTTTACATTTTCTCACCATTCAGTCATGTGTTATTTGCAGCAAGTGTTTCACATTTCTGTTAGAAATGAGTATCTGAAACCTAACAACGCTTATGCTGAAGGAAAAATACAAACTTGTATCTGAATTTGAATGTAATAAAACTTTGCAAAATAAGAAAACCTTCCAAGAACAACATTGGTAAGAATTCTGAAGAAAAAAGAGGAAATCAAGAAACTTTTTTTGGGGTCTTCATCATAGCTGTCTCAAAAATGCCAGAGTATGTCAAAACAAAAAGTAATGCTATAGAAATCACTAAGGTGCTTGGAGTAGAAACCAACTTTACTGCTAGTGATGGAGGTTAGAGAGGTACAGTACATTGCATGTACTATATAAAGCAGAGTTGTCCAACCTTTTTTCCTAATGAACCAAATTAGAAATTTATGTATATTCAGTGGGCCACAAAGGTACCTTATATAAATATATTTTTTTAAAAAGTTCAAAATGTGAATATCAACTTTTAATAACAAATATATATAATTACAAAAAATACTGTATTATTTATTGACAGTAAAAAAAAGAAATTATACACAAAATTAAAATTCAATGCAATTTTTGGCATTGCATTCCTTTTATAATATTGTCAATATCTGCTTTTATGGTACTAGTCTTAATTGTAAGAATGTTAGTTAAAAATGGGAATTTCTCAACCTATTTCAGAAGTTTTGATGTTTTTCATGCATGAAAAGATTGTTCACAATAGTATGTAACTATCCTACATGCATATGTGAGAACCAAGGGGGTAGAGTGGCAAGCCCAAACCCTCCTTACTAGTGACAGGAGGGTGAGTCCCGTTCACTGTGTCAGGGGATGGTGCGAATTGTAGTGAGTGGGGGTTGGAGAGGTCGTTGATAAGGCGTTGGCAATACATAAAAGATGACACTTAGTTAAATATAAACATTGGTGGAAATTCTGAAGAAAAAAGAAGAAATTAAGAAACTTTTTCTTGGGTCTTCGTTGCGGCTGTCTTGAAAATGCCAGAGTAAGTCTCCGTACAAAGATGTTGAAGATGCTCTGGTATATTGGCTAAAGCAAATTCGTTCATTGAATCTTCCTGTTTTTGGGCTGATACTGAAATAAAAAGCAATGGAAATTGCTGAGGTACTTGGAGTCAAAACCAATTTTAGTACCAGTGATGGATGGTCAGAGAGATACATTGCATACTCTGTATAAAGCATTACTGTATTTTCCTAATTATAGTTTTGTGGTTTTTTTCAACTTCATTTTAGTCGTCATATCAGATAACTTGACACATTTCCACTTCCCCTTGGGGTGTCAGCTTAGAGGACTCGACTGTACTAATAAATTTGATCTTAGAGGGAGGTGTTAGGTGCCATCTCATATTAAATTTAATAATTATAATTTATTTTTGTTGTTTTGAACACCATATAGTGTAGATACACGAACACTAGGCAATCTTCATTTTAAATGTATTCAATTTTTTTTGACAAAAATAATCAGCAACACGGTTTCAAGAACGTGAAATTATAAGTTAATTAAATAATTTTAGATTAAACTGGAAGAAAAGAATTGGCCCAGAGTGGGACTCGAACCCACAACTGCTGCTAACAGTGAGTTAAATTCAACAATTCAATTAACATGCACTAACAATAATCATAATAGCCAATGCCAAATGATTGCTGGATACAATTATTAAATTTATCAAGGATGCCCATCTATCTTCAGCCAAATTACTTGATACTGTTTAACACAGTAGCATTATTATAGTCTGATGTAATTTGGCAATCATTTGACATTAATATAAAAATTGAATTAATGGATATTCCTTTATAACCAAACACTTGAAAAGAATGAAAGAAAAGAAAAATCAACCTAGCCAACATGAGTCAAAATATTTAACTAAATTTACAAAAAGAATCTTGAATTCCAAGACTTTAATTTGATAAAATTAGTCCTTTGTTTATCGGGAAATACAGCTTCTGTAGAAAGAGTATTTTCACTCAAGAATTCCCTGCAGTCAAAAGAGAAGTCAAAATGAAGCCGTGAAAGTAATGCTTATTATAAAACAAAACTGAGACTTATAATGTAATAAGTTTAATGATAAAATAGTAAGTGACCAGAATTTAAACAAAACAAAGTTCATCTGAAAAGTATGCTTTGTTTGACTCTAAGAAATTCACATCAACCTAACTATGAAATTTCATATCATATTGTAATAAAAATATCACCATAATGGGTCTCCACTATACACAACCAATACATTCCAAGACTTCTCACATAAATGAAAACTCACATATAATAGTGAAAGAGCATAAAATCTTAATTATTAAAATAGCAATCCCCATTAGTTTTTCCTGTACTAATATATCTATCATACATGTTTTGTATAAAGAAGACAAACACTGTATTAATAATAAATAGTAATACTATAAATCATAAAAATAACTTTACAAATTTTTCAGAAGCTGATTTTTTCTTACTAAATCTAGAATTTTAATTTTTTCCTCTAAAATAGGTACAGTATATCCAAGGGTTAACCTAACCATTGCAATCGGTGAAAACATGAATCAGCAAGTACCAATCTCACATAAAATAAGAATATAATGTACTAACATTACATGTTTAATTAGAAAATAAATGCTTATATAATACTTATGATGTAAAAAATTTTAAATATTTTAATTTAAGCCAATTTTAATTTAAAAAAAAAAAAAGCTGAGATGAAAAATACCATTTCATATTTATAAAATGGGACAAACTGAACTATATCTCTTTCTGCATAAGTCCCATCAGGAGCGCACAGTCTCTGGTTGTCACTATCAAGGAAATCCATAGCTTCAAAATCTGCTCGACCAACTCCTACAATTATGATGGACATCGGAAGTCTGGAAGCCTGAACTATTGCTCTGCGTGTGTCATTCATGTCAGTCACAACTCCATCAGTTAAAATTAACAAAATAAAGTAGTTCTGAAAATCAGACTAATTAAAATTATGGAATATGTAATAATTGTTATTAAATAGCAAATTATTATTTTTAATTATCTGATTACATACACCACATGTATTATGAGCATGCTGAGCAAATCTGGCAACATGATTAATGACTGGAGAAAAATTTGTTGGTCCATACAACTGTACTTGAGTGATGCAATTTCGATAGGCATCAATTATTCCTTGAACACCTAAATATATTCAATTATTTTATTTAAATTTAAACATGTTAAGTAATTAATTTATGGTATGTTTTCTATTTAACTATATACATAGTTAAATAGAAAACATACCGTATTTAATCACATATAAGACAAGGTTTTTATTCATTTATCACAGCTTTAAATTCTTAGGTACATGCAAGCAAAAGATTCTTTGCATTTTTGCAAATAATTTTTGGGAAGTGTATTCATATTTTTTACCAGATGCTTACCCTCTTGTATTTAAAAACATAAGTATTTTATCTGGGTCATTTGAATCATTCTTGTATATTGTCAGGAGTAAAAATGAATAGCAATAAGAAAAGGAAAGCTTTTGAACTGAATTCCAGATTGAAATTCCAAAATCACACGAGAGCCCGATATAAGTTTTAATCCATTTCCACGTGAAAACAGATGATTATTCGGAAATCAGAATTCAGAGAAACTCATAAGTGTAATTGACAGAGAGTGAATTCAACTGTTAAGAATTGGCAAAACAAGGTTCCCGATTGTTCAGCTTTACATGAACAAATTATGTTGTTGATTTTACAAGATTTTTCCTTAAAGTTTAAAATGCCAGTAATTTTTGCAAGGCAATGTGTGCATTTATGTTCATTTGATATTTTACTTGTCATTAAATGAAATAAAATTAGAATTGTATTAATAAATCTAATTTTCTTTATTTTGATCTTTAAACCTCGTCCTATATGTGAAGTTGTCTTATATGCGTATTATATAAAGTAACACCTCGTCCTATATGTGAAGTTGTCTTATATGCAAGTAAATATGGTAATTCTGAATTAAGTTTTTAAAATGAAAATCATCATTAAATAATTTAAAATCATAAACAGTAATTTAATTAAAGCACTGTATATAAAATATAATGTTAGAGCTCAATAAAAATATTTGTTAGAGACTGTTGTCTTAAAGTATACAAATATCAGATTAAATATCAGCATGAAATAGGATTGAAACAAGAAGCAATGTTTTATTTTCTCTATTTTTAATTATCTTGTAACATGTATTAATACTAAATTGTAAAAACAAATATTTCCTATTTGTGGCATATAAATATGATTACTTTTGAGCTAAAATAAGAATAGACTAAGATTGCAGCCTAACTGCCTACATTTGATGCACAATAAAATAATACAAGATGCTAACAAAGCTAAATTTTATGAATAATTTTATAATCTCTGAACAATTTAAATAGTGTTCAAATATATTTTTTATTCAAATAATATTAAACAGTTTCATTTTTTTAATGCAAATGTGAAGTTTACATTTGCATTAAAAAGGTGAAACTGTAATTTTAAGATTACACAAACATTTCTTACATAGATATTAGAATTCTTCCAGATGATTTTTATGTAATGATTAATCAGAATAAGTTTTAAATAATTGCTTATTAAACTTGTAGATAAAATATTCTTTAATAACTTAATTTATAATAATAATATAATTTAGACATATTAAATGTTTTTTTGGTCATATACCTGAACAAAATGGATTGCTATTATTAAAATTGATAGCAAATTCATGTGACACTTCCCATGTTGGAGGTATTCTTGCTCCAAACCCTAAGGCAGGGAACATCTTATCACTGAAACAAATTAAAGTATAAAGTATTAAATCAATATTTTAACTATGAAATAAATTATATTAATGTTTTTTCCATATAAATCAATTATAATTCTTATTTTATATTTTTAATAGCAAAATTGAAACCATGAATGCCATATGTATATTAATAAAACAATAACTATGCTTATTTTGTAAACAGTTGAGATAATTGTTTCTTTGCCTATGAAATATATTCTCTTTGAATGAAATCAGATACTGAATTCAATTTATAGAATATGAATGATATTAGCCAAAATCTCAATCATCATGTTTTGATTTTTAACTTAAGAAAAACTTTTTAACATTAAATTTTCAGGAAAGTTAAAATGAATTAAAAATTAGAACTGAAATACTATTTTTTATAATAAAAATTTCACATCAGAATAAAGTAATTAACTTTACCTAATTAATTAAATAAAATATATAATGCACTCATTTACAGGAAATATGCCATACTTTATTTGTCAAATTTGTTTTGAACTTAATATATTTTCCTTTTCTGAGATTTTAAAATTTTCTGATAAATAAGTCTAGAACATCTAGGTACTACAAATTATATAAGTTATCATATAGTTATGACTTTTATAACAACTATATAATTTTTAGTACTTAGATATCCTAGTCTTATACAGTAATATATTTTGCTTTACATTTTGTTTCTACTTTATATTTAATGCAATATACTGAAATTTTAAGTGAAACTTGATGTTTATTTAAAAGATATAGATGTAATAATAATATTTTAATTTTTTTAAACACTTTCTGCCCTGTGGGCACTAAGAGGACCTCCATTAGTAACACCATTATCGGTTTGGCCAGGCCCACAATGGGGTGGCCGGGTGGTGAGGGACAGGGCCCAACATATCCAGATGAATCACCCCCCCAAAAAAATACTGGGAATTTTTTGACTCATCTGGATTTGATCTCAAGTCCCAAGACCTGTAGGCTGCCACCTTAACCACTCAGATATTTAGCCATCATTATTTTAATGTTATGATTTCATAACTATTAATCTTTATATAATCATTTGATTAATTGACTATCATCACATTTATATAATAATGTGATAAATACTTTGTCACTTCCCATTTACCAACTCTGCTAATGTCACTCATGTTAAATTGAGTTTCTCTGACTAATATCATACAATCTCTTACTTTGATAGAATTCTATATTTTAAATATTTATCATTTCAGACTCTGTCACCATGTCCCAGCCAAAACTACACAGAATTCCAGTTGCTTATACATTCTTCCTTTTTGTTTAAGTCTGTCCAAAGAACCTGTTTTTATCATACTATATTTTTAATGGAAGGACTTGAGGATGCACTGCATCTACAATTTTGTAAATATAAAACAAATACTGAATATCATCATTTTTAATGTATTTATTTGTTTTGTCATATTTTTATAATGTATTTCATTTGTTTTATTCTTTTTAATATTTCAGGATTTGTTATAGACAGTGGTAACAAATGCTCTTAAGCAATACCTGTAATAATTGGATAAATAAGTAAGTGTTTTGAAAGATCCATATTAGCTTACCTATCATAATCCTGAATTACATTTCCTACAGCCCAAATTGCTTTCATATAATCATTTGGGTGACTACTAATGTAATGTAGAGAATTAGGATCTCTTGGATTGCCATTCGATCCAGTAAAATCAATTGCAACCTATATGAGAAATTTGCTGTTTTTGTAGAAATTTTATATAAAAGTAATTATAAAAATATTTATATACTTACGGTAAAATTTATCTGAGTACCACCAAAAATATAATCTAAAAATGTGTAATTTTTGATAATCTAAAAAAAAAAAAAATTTAATTATTGTAATTTAAAATAACAACAATAATGATGATAAAAGTAACTCAAAACATTTTATTACATTTTATCCTGAAACTCATCTCTGTTTGGGACATAATGAGGTTTCAAATTTTATTGAAGTAAATAGTAAATTATGTTTTAATATGTATTAATTTAAATGTTTTACTTGATAACTGATTTATTTATGTATAGAATAACCCATGTAAAGTGCTATATGCTAATTTCTTTGAAACTAGCATATAGATATAGGGCAGTTATAATAATAATAATATATATTATTATTATTATTATTTTTACATATCTTACAACACGCTTTAATGATTCGTATACGTATAAATATATAAATTATATACTTGAAACTTCATTGCGTTATGTATTCTTAAAGTTAGATTGCGTACGAAGTGATACCGTATTAAATTGGATTATGACGTAAAAATGTAATGAAATTGCAAATGTAAAATGAATAAATTCACTAATTTATGTGGTGTGACGGGCGAGAATCTTTGTCCCAGTTAAAAAAATGTCGTGAATAAAATATATACGAAATGTTAAACAAATTTCAATAAA